TACATATCTATTGCAACAACAAAAACACTGATGTTTATATATATATATCTTTGTAGGAAAGTGAAAATACAGTTTTTAAATATAGAGACAAGCACACATGTCTTCATAGTTAGCCTAAGCATATAATGGGCTTAATTTGAATCAACGCATCTGCCTTTATTTTTGTCAGCGATCTACAACTAGCCAAATATCTGGTAATATGTTTTCTTTTGGTGATCATTTAAAATGTTGAATATTGGATTTTGATCAAATGCTTATACTACGTTAATTGAAACAGGATGATTAATGATAGGAAATAATTTCCTAGAAGTCAGTGGAAGTATTCAACATTTAACAGTGGAAGTATTCAACATTTAACCAGAATATTAAAATAAATGAAGTTATTTCAAGAGTAGATTTCGAGAAAAAAAAGTTATTGGAATTAGTATTAACTTAGCTGTAGTTAAATGGAGGGGAAGATTATTGAAAGGTATTATTAATGTAACTCATTGATAACATTTTGATAACCTTTTGGGGCTCCGTGTTTTTTTTTGTTGCGAAGAGGAAGATTATTGAAAGGTATTATTAATGTAACTCATTGATAACATTTTCATAACCTTTTGGGGCTCCGTGTTTTTTTTTGTTGCGAATATAGTGTTTTTTAAAAATTAATTTAAAGGACGTCGAATAAACACATCTACATACTCCAGGAGGAGAATTACCATTCATTTATGTGTATACAAGTGTATAAAGGATCATCCATACTGGGTAGTAAATCAGGCAAAGTCTAGTTTCTAGCTGTTCGTTAGAAGCTTTTAATAACAGGACAATGGCAAGTTAATGTGGTCTTGGAGGTTTCATATGCCACTCCGATGCTTGTAATGGTAGTTACACTGCTCTGTACGACATACATATGTATAAGCAGCCTCCAAGAGCTGTTATCTCTCTCACTGCCTGATGTGTCCTTCTTTGGCTGAAAGCTTTTCTCGCCTGCTTTCCTTCGTCGCGATAATGGTCCCCAATTTCCGGTCTCTTCTTGTTTTGTTTGATGTGGATTGGAACCCACTAGAGTTTCGTCTTTTCTCTTTTCCAAAAGCCCAGATTTTAATTGATCACGTGGTTTCAACTGGAACATCATTCTCTTTCTCTCTCTCCCTTTCCTCATCCCTCTCTTTCCCTGTAAGAGCCGAGAGAGTAAAGCAGAAATACATGAATTCCATCTGTGCACGTGCTGCAGACAGCGGCTCTCTTGCCTACTTCATCATCGGTATCTGCATGATGTGATTCTCTCTCGGCGTAATTAGCGTGGCATATCTTCCTGCTGAAACGCCGAGCTTCGCCTTGTTGGCCTTACGGGTCTATTGAGAAGGGCGCTGATGTAAAAGCGGCGAATCGAAATTTATATTGACTGCTAGAGTCTTTATATGTTAAACTGGTGATGAATGCCAAGGCTTTATTTGTTTCTGGTTCATACAATAGTATTGATACATGCATATTTTTATTTATGCACGTTGTTGTTTATTTATGGGTAAAGACTTGCTGTCAAACTTATCGATATATCCGTATGAGAGAAAAACAAAATTATCTGCGTTTCCATTTTTCTCTGATTTTATTAAAGTATCTTTGGTTGTTTTAATTCTCAAATATAACATCATGATATTAAAACACTTATATAATAATGTAGCAATGAAGCTATGAATGCTATGACAGGATTTTATATTATCAACGTTTCGACTACAAGTCTTCTTCAGGAGACTATGTATCCATTTGTCAACATGAATAATACTCACATATAATAAGTCTACAACTTTTTGTAAACTCATAAATGCGTAATTTCTTTCTTAACAACAGCAAATCAAGAGCACTGAGGTCATCAAGGTTAATCCTGTAAATAGTTTAAACTACTACAAGAGTATAAACATAAACTATGTAATAAATTTCATCATGTCATAATAAAGGTACAAGAACTCAAGAGTAACCTAAATTTTTGTTCAGCCAGATTAAAACAAGGTGAACTCATTCAGTAACAGTGGTCACTGTGGTGATTTTTAATTTTTCTTAGATCATTAAAATTAACTGGAAATCAGTATTTATCTAGCTTTTCTTTAACAACGTACATTAGTGAAAGCTTATCAATGAAAATTAAATGATGAACAGTTGCAGTGAAGGCGGCCTATCAACAGATCCATGTAATGTGTTTGACATTTAAGAGGTAGAATACTCTAACCAACTTCGTAGCCTGTATACTACTTACTTTATTTTTTATATAGATGATCACGATCCCTGAGATCGTATAACCCAGAGTTATTCCCTCCTGTTTGTCTTTTTATTACAGTCTTCGGGCCACATTTTGTGACCTTTATTCTGGACTTTTTATGCAAACACAATAAATATATATATATATATAAAATTGTCTATAAAAACCTTTGAAATGAATTATGTTCAGCAAATTATTGTACTATTATGAAAGGTTATGTAAGGCAAACTGTTTTACAGAATGGTTAGCTACTATATTGTCCGTGTGCTTGTTTTGTTTCGAAAATTCTCTCCCAATTAAGCATGAGCTATCTGTTATAACTGTCCCTAATTTTCAACTGATAGACTAGAGGGAAGAAAGCTAGTCAAGAGAACCTACCGTCAATTCTTGTGATACTATATTTGAACAGGGGGATTTAACAGTTACTTTTATAACACACCCACGGCACCAAGGAGCAGTTTTCTTTTCTTTTTTGCGATAAAACGTTGTGAACCATAGAACCTCAAATTCACAGTACGCTTCGTCTGTCCAATTTCCATATGCATAGCCCCCTAGTGGCTCAATTGTAAGTTTGAAGTCTTATATCGCTAAAAACCGGATTTTGATATCCGTGGTGGGCACACCAAAGACAGCCCATTGTGTAGATTTGTGGTTAACAACAAATTACATGCATAGACGGTCCAAATACCACGGCCGCTCCTCGAGCAAAGTAGAGAGAGTCGTCATTTTTATCCGAGTGATAATAAACGTCCCTGATAATAATAAAACATGATGTGTTATAATTTTACTATCCAAACATTGACTGCTGATAAGCTTACTTGTTTGTCTGCTTGTAGTTAAGCGCAAAGCTACACAATGGGCTATCTGTGCTGTGCCCACCACGCGTATCGTTATAAGTATGCATACTTACCGCTGTGCCACTTGGAGGCCCGCTGGTAAGCAATTATAAAATTTGTAATAATAATAATGCTATTGAGGTAGAAAAAATATGAACCATTACGATTGTTTAGGAATTTTAAACTGGAATTGAAAAGTATAATTTTCTTGGCTAAAAGTACAACGTGTCATCAAAGCCATTTTGCTCCTTCATTGGTGATAATTTGTTATTCTTTTCTTAACAAATTTTGATTTATGAAATGGGATCAAATTTGTCAAAATATAGGAGGTATAGTAACAAAGACGGCACATGGGATAAGTAGCCCACTTTTTAATCTAAATACTACGAAATCTAACCTATATAAAATCCAGTGTGTGTCACGTCACGCTTGATTTCTCGAAATATTAGGAGTCATAAAAGCCAAAATGCATTTATCCGGATAGAATAGTTCGATTACTGTCCGCCCATTACGATTTTAGTGACGGGGCTGGAAGAGGGCCGTGAGAGGGGGGGTGTGCTGTAAAACTTTATAAGTGTAGTGAGTGTTGATATAATAAGCCTAAAGTAAAGACGTAGTGTGGTATCACCTAGCCTAGGGCCAAGTGCATAAAAGTTATCATGAAAGTAAAAATATCGATTCAGTTTTAAACTTAAAAATAAGAAATCAACAAATATTTTCCAGTTTTCTTGTCAATACTTTTCATTTTATACTTTCAGTACATAGACTAACAAGAATATCATAATTTTGTTGCTAAGCCACATGACATAAAAGCCATTGCTGGAACGTAGTGTTACCAAAACGCACTTGGCTTTTCTATATATTAGAAGTTGTTAATCTAACCGATTTTTACCTATATTTATTGTATGAATACGTCACGAGTTCATTGCATGAATGATCTTCATTTTGATTGTCTCGCAAAGGAATTTACAGAAGTTTGACTGCCCCGACTGCACTTTTCTGCCTCTTTGTTGGTCAAGCATAATTTCGCAAAATGTATTCATTTCAGTTAGCTATGAAATACTATAGGGTGGGGATGAAAGTACCTGCCCCGTCACTCATGACGAGCTATACGCTAGTATTAAATATTTGTTTTCCAGTCGCCCTACAAAATTTTTCCAGTTTTCAAAAAGTTGCTAATTTTTTATGTAATAAACGTCCCTGGGCATAGCATTATATCTATTAAACGTATAGTAGATACATCACAAAATAAGGTATACCAATACCAGGGTCTAAGGATATGGATATAGTGAATAATTATGTAATAAACGTCCCTGGGCATAGCATTATATCTATTAAACGTATAGTAGATACATCATAAAATAAGGTACACCAATACCATGGTCTAAGGACATGGATATAGTGAATAATTATGTAATAAACGTCCCTGGGCATAGCATTATATCTCTTAAACGTATAGTAGATACATCATAAAATAAGGTACACCAATAACAGGGTCTAAGGATATGGATATAATGAATAATTTCTAAAATTATTTGATGTTTATTGGACAAGTTTAGGGTTCTGCTTGTGGTTAGAAAAATGTTTTTAGAACAATTATTATAAACTTATATTGACCAAATCTGTAATCGTCAGTCACAACAGATTATATAGCTTATGTCGATTAAGCTTATATCCTTCACTCACAACAGACAGACCTATGGGTTTGCATCAAAACCGCATGCGCCATTAACCACAGAGTATCAAACTGTAAAAGTCGCATAATAAACTCTATAGTTTTAACAGAAACACAGTGCTGATTACTGAAATAAGTATCTCGAACAGCAGCTTTAAAATTCTTAATTTGTAAATCTCTCCTAAAAATTTCAAAATTTTGCAAAAAAAAAAAGTATTAAGATGCTTGAAATTTAATTTTATTTTATTTCCAGCTGTCCTGGGACCTCCACCTGATTATGTTGAGATCGACCTGGTATAAATAGTTGGCGACGCTTCCAGTCATCTTGAAATCATCATCTGCCGATGATGATGTCAAATTTAAATCGGCATAAACAAATGACGATGTTTCCAGTCGCATTGGAATCTCTATCTGATGATGATGTCCAGTTTGACCTGGTATAAATAATTGATGATTACTTCATTTGTCTTGGAATCTTGACCTGACGATGATGATGTCCAGTTTGATCTGAAATAAATAACTGGCGATTTCATATTGGTGAAAAACTTTTAGGTAAGATTGATATATATATATATATATATTTTTTGCACTAAATTTCAATTAACTACCAAATATAAGGTTAAGACATAACCATCAGAGAAATTGTAACTAATGTGGTTTCATCAGGTAAGAATAATTTATGGTCTTAATGTGATAATCATGTTTTAACAATATTTGTTTATCACTAACAAATACCCACATATATTTATTGTCTTTGTATGACGAACTGAACGTTTGCTCTAATATTTACTGATAGATGTTTGGAAACATTTCTAAATATTCCCAAACTTTTACCAGACAAGCCTTAAACATAATTCTTAAAATGTAATTTATCGATGGAAAGTCTGAAATCAGATTATCAGTGCTATCTATACTGGTAACATACAGTAAACCAGTCTGGTTAAAACGATCCATCGTTTAGTGGTAGCAGAAACTCGTGTGCAACCGCTATGTAGCACGTGTAATGACGAAAAAAAAGACAGTCTGACATGACTTTAACAAACCAATCGGCATGAAAGTTTAGAACGTTTGTTGGTCCGCCAAAGAAATTACCACACAGATTTCAACTAACATCGTTGCTGTAATCTGTGGATTATTGAAAACAGCTACATATATTAGGACGTAGATTGTACACTTTAAGCTTTCGCATTGTGGTACCCAGACAGATTTCAACTAACGTCGTTGCTGTAATCTGTGGATTATTGAAAACAACTACATATATTAGGACGTAGATTATACACTTCAAGCTTTCGCATTGTGGTACCCAGACAGATTTCAACTAACGTCGTTGCTGTAATCTGTGGATTATTGAAAACACTACATATATTAGGACGTAGATTATACACTTCAAGCTTTCGTATTGTGGTACCCAGACAGATTTCAACTAACGTCGTTGCTGTAATCTGCGGATTATTGAAAACAACTACATTTATTAGGACGTAGATTATACACTTCAAGCTTTCGGGTTGAGTTACCTAGGATATCTAAGTATTATATAAAATACCCAATTAATATTTCTGAAGACCACGTGTAAATGATAATAAAAATGGAAGATAAAGTATTTTTTTGTATATTAAATACATTATATTTGTAAAAGTTGTTTTAACGTACGTTCTTTGTACACCAGAAAAATACGCCAGTGATGTAAAACGCCACTAATGTTTTTACTATTATTTATATAGCAACTATATTCTCAGCTACTATAATATTGCCCTCGGTTCTGCAGCGGTAGATCTTTGGCTTATAGCTCTAAAAATTTGGTTTCGATACCCGCTGTGAGCAGAGCACGTATAGCCCTTTGTGTAGCTTTGTGCTTATCACAAAACAAACAAAACAAATACTATAATATAGTAATTATTTTTTGTTTGTTCTGAATTTCGTGCAAAGCTACACGAGGGCTATGTGCGCTAGCCCTTCCTAATTTAGCAGTGTAAGACGAGGGAAGGCAGCTAGTCATCACCATCCACCACCAACTCTTGTGCTACTCTTTTACCAACGAATAGTGGGATTGATCGTCACATTATAACGCCCCCACGGCTGAAAGGGCGAGCATGTTTGGTGGGACGGGGATTCGAACCCGCGACCCTCAGATTGCGAGTCGAGCTCCCTAACCACCTGACCATACCAGGCCAATTATATTTTAAACCTAAGTATAATGGATGACGGACGTGTATGTGCTGTTTAATTCATTATTTGTTATCAGGGTTGGGTTCAAAACCTCTTTGTAAATTTTATGTGATAAAGACATTTTCAGATTACGGTTAGTTTCGTCAAACGTATCTTTAGCAACTGAGTACAAATAAGTTTTCAAGTATTGTTATTTGGTTTGGCTCTTACTCATCATCATCCACAGATGTAATGTGTAATCTTACATCTATTGTCTACTTTCGCTCGAGGTGTGCTATACTTTTGATCAGGATATTATATGAGCACATAATAACAATAACCATATTTATTTTATTTTTTTTAACTTGCACCGGGAGTTCTTCAGTTCGCTTAATTCCAACAAGAAAAGCTTATTTGTAAGTACTTAGAGTACACAATATGGACCACATTATACATCATACCGATAATAAATACATCAACATATGAAACAGTGGTTATTCATTTGAATTTTTATATACTGAATACTAAAATATATGCTGAAGGGAGGAAGGTACCTGCAGAAGTAACACCCACATAGCAATTTGGGGGGGGGGGGAAGGTACCTGCAGAAGTAACACCCACATAGCAGTTTGGATACACGGTATATAAGACTTGAGCCCCCCAGTGGCACAGCGGTATGTCTGCAGACTGACAACGCTAGAAACCGGGTTTCGATACCCGTGGTGGGCAGAGCACAGATAGCCCTTTGTGTAGCTTTGTGCTTAACTACAAACAAATATGAGACTTGAACTGAAACTTCAAGCCTCATACATGGAATTAATTTACAGTTAAGATATAAAAAAACAACTTACTTACATTTATTTCTTTGTTTTAAAATTTTCACGCCAGGTGGTTACACAATGGTTATCTGGGCACAGCCGTTACTCGTTTTGAATAAATAAATAACGCTAATAATGTAGTTATTGCTGTAATAAATAAGCTAATGCAGTAAATGCAAAGGTTTATACAAGAACGTCTATTTTAACATTCATGCGTGAATAATCAAGTACATTATAGATCTGTTTCAGAACAAGTGTTAATGTTGCACAGCCTATACTAGGTAGTGAGAAACATTGTTTACCGTCAAATATAAAGGATTCCTAATATTCTTAAAACGTTTGCTTAAATTGTGTGATTCTTACAATTACAATACAATGATAAAAACATTCTAAAAATGAAATGAAGTAACAATACTAGAAAACAAAGAAAAACTATACGTCTGAAAAGGAAAAGCAAGATGTTCTATAAAATATTAACATCGACTAAATTAATATATAGTACAGTTTTCTGTTATTTTTTATCTCTAATGCAAAACAGATACATTGTATTACTACTACACTTAATATATTCTGATTATTCAATATAATTAAATCATTGGCTTATCTATTAGGACTAGGTGAAGGTAATTCAACTGATTTGACAATTGTCCGTATAGAAAAGATATAGGTTGGTTATGTTTAGTTAGGAAATTAATGAGTGTGGCAACAATAAAATATAAATTCAAAACTAACCAGTTCTTCAAATGGTTTTGAAAGTTTGGTTGCTTTAAATTGCAGAGCTGAAGAATGAACTATGTGCACTGTGCCTACCTCAGGGATCGAACCCCTAATTCTTGGCGTTATAATCTCTCAAGCCTACTAAGAAACCACCGGGGAAGGGGTATTGTAATGAATTCTAAAATAAAAATATAAACTAAAATAGCATTACTTCCATGCTTTGTGTTTGACAAGACTTGTTCAGTTTCTTCGTTATTAAATACATTCTCGAAATCATAAGCGTTATTGCACGTTTCACTTAGCTAGAATTTATATATACATCGAGAATCTGGTTTATCAGGAGGGTAATAAACAACGTCACCAAACTGATGTGGATTTTTATGTAGTTTAGGAAATTGAACATAAAACCTATGATTCTGGAAAACGTAATATGGTTAGAGAACGTATTGTTAAGTTCCTTAATTACTTGATCGTCTAGTTTACATTGGTATTAAACTCAATGTTTCTAACATGATGACGATTTAGCGCTTTTAATAACGATTTTAATCTCAAATAATTTCTACGAGTACAGATGAAATCCGATAAATGGTGTATCCTTTCTGTCGTGTGGAATCTCTACCTTCAAACACATTTAGAGACGAAATCTGATAGATGGTATTTCCTCTTTGTTGTGTGAAATCTCTACTTTAAAATACCTCTGGATACGAAATCTGATAGATGGTGTATCTTTTTCTCATGTGGAATCTCTACGTTCAAATACCTCTGGAGATGAAATCTGGTAGATGATGTATCCTGTCTGTTGTGTCAAATGTGGTAAATGGTGTATCCTTTTTGTCGTGTTTAATTTAAACCTTCAAATATATCTACAGACGAAATCTGATAGGTGGAATCTCTACCTTCTTATACATTTAGAGACGAAATATGATAAATGGTGTATCCTTTCTGTCGTGTGGAATCTCAATCTTCAAATACGCCTAGAGACGAAATCTGATAGATGGTGTATCCTTTCCGTTGTGTGGGATATGTACTTTCAAATAACTCTCGGGATGCACCTTCATATACCTCTAGAAACGAAATCTGATAAATGGTGTATCATTTCTTTCGTGTGAAATTTCCATATTCAAATACCTTTATAGACGAAATCTGATAAATGGTGTATCGTTTCTTTCATGTGGAATCTCTACCTTCAAATACCTTTAGAGACGAAATGTGATAGATGGTGTATTATTTCTTTCGTGTGGAATCTCTTTCTTCAAATACGTATAAAGATGAAATCTGAAGAATGGTGTATCCTTTCTGTCGTGTGTAATCTCAACCTTCAAATATCTTTACAAACGAAATCTGATAAATAGTGTGTCTTTTCTGTCGAGTGGAATCTCTATATTCAAATATTTCTAGAAATGAAATCTTACAGATGGAGTATCCTTTGTTTCGTGTGAAATCTCTACCTTCAAATACTTCTAGAGACGAAATATGATAAATGGTGTATCCTTTCTGTCGTGTGGAATCTCTACCTACAAATACTTCTAGAAACATAGTTTTATCGATGATGTATTCTTTCTATTGTGTGGAATATCTACCTTGAAATACCTCTATAGATGAAATCTGATAGATGGTGTATCCTTTTTATTGTGTGTAATATCTACCTTCAAAATAACTCTGGAGATGAAATCTGATAGATGCTGCATCCTTTCTGTATCCTTTAAATATCTCTCTCACCGAGTTACAGATTATTTTTCTCACACTGTAGCCTGTGTATCTGTTTTTATAGCAAAGCCAGATTAGGCTATCTGCTTTGTCCACCGCGGGGAATCGAGCCACTTATTTTAGCGTTGTAACTCCGTAGACTTACCGCTGTCTTTCCGCGGGACC